CTCCTTGGTCGCTGTTCGACTTCACTCCTTCTCTCCTTTTACCGAACCTTTCTCCTTGGACCATGTTCGACTTCGCTCCGATCCTCGCTCCTTCGACCGTGTTCAGGCAACTTTCTCTCTTTCACGCTATTTGACTTCGCTACTTGGATGACCTAACTTCCATATTATTGCTCGACGACCTAGCTTCCACATTAATGCTTGCTCGTTTGCTATGTAGGTAACTTGTTCGACTTCGCGGATGTATAAATGTAATTATGTTCATGAAAATTGTGTTTTTTATGTGTTCTTTTATGCAGGTTTTTTGTGGAAATTAGTTTCTATAGAAAGGAAGGTTTTTTTTTTTCTCTGTGCTCCAGGTTTCCGGCGGAACTTGCGCCGGACACTCTGTCGGTACGACGATATGAAGTTTCCGGCGGATTTAATCCGACGGTTACTAATCGTCTTATCAACGACGGAATATCCGCCGGAACATCCGGCGGAATAAACGACGGTAATCGGAAATTGTTCGACGGCGAGATTTACCTACTTTCCGCCGGAAATATGTTTCCGGCGCAATTTGTGCGCCGGCAAATATTTCCGACGTGCGATAATCCGGCGGATGGTTTTTCGACCGAAATCCGCCGGAAAGCAACAATTTCCAGCGCATTTTCGTTGATACCGACGTATCTAGTCCGCCGGTAAAACCTTGTTTCCTGTAGTACTGGAGTTAGAATTTTGTTCATGTGGGGGCGCAAATCATCAAAGTAATTAAAAATCCTCAACCTTTTTCATCTGGACGGTTTTAAAAAATTTTGTATCGAAAGTTTCACCGTTAGTCTATTCTCCAATTTGCGGTCTATACATATAATAAAACAAACAATATGTTGCATCCTTAGTTATACTATATTATAGCTAAGCTTTGTGATCATCAAATCATGCTGGATTAAATTTGCAAAACTTATCTCCAAATTTTGTACGCATGAATTCATGATCACGGAGATGACATAGTCCTTTCAACAAGTAATTTCTCCTGTCACCATCCGTCTCGTTCAGATGATAATCTAATTTTTTTTCTCAATCAAGGATCCACGGGGATATCTACAAAATTTGCTCTACACGCTTTGTTTGATTTTTGTATGTTTCTTCACATAATATTTTGTTGTCATATCCTTCAATTTTTTTTTAAAAAAAATATCTATCCATACAAAATTGAATGAAAAAATAATAACAATTTGATCTTCAAGCCTACTGGATGCAGACTCAAATCATCAAAGTAATTAAAAATCCTCAACCTTTTTCATCTGGGCTTGGGACCGACACTGGCGGTTTTAAAAAATTTTGTATCGAAAGTTTCACCGTTAGTCTGTTCTCCAATTTGCGGTCTATACATATAATAAAACAAACAATATGTTGCATCCTTAGTTATACTATACTATAGCTAAGCTTTGTGATCATCAAATCATGTTGGATTAAATTTGCAAAATTTATCTCCAAATTTTGTACACATGAATTCATGATCACCGGGATGACATAGTCCTTTCAACAAGTAATTTCTCCTGTCACCATCCGTCTCGTTCAGATGATAATCTAATTTTTTTTCTCAATCAAGGATCCACGGGGATATCTACAAAATTTGCTCTACACGCTTTGTTTGATTTTTGTATGTTTCTTCACATAATATTTTGTTGTCATATCCTTCAATTTTTTTTTAAAAAAATATCTATCCATACAAAATTGAATGAAAAAAATAATAACAATTTGATCTTCAAGCCTACTGGCTACAGACTAATCAAACAAAATGAAATCCTTTGCTCGTAGCAGGCTAACAACAAAATAAAATACACAAAATGTGAACAATATCATAGAATAATCTATTTGTTTTTACAGATAATCAAAGTCCAAAAGAAAGCAGTTGCAGCAGAGTTTAACTGATGAAATATTTCTACACAAACTTTATCAAGCAAAAAAAGGCAATAAGAGATCTCGAAAGAGAAATACATGAACGACATAAATAAGAAACGAAGCCAAAAATGCTAATTTTTTTATTTGCGAATACACAGGAAAGAAGAAAGGTTATGAAGGACATATCTAAAATATGAACATTCCTTCCCCTTTTGGAAAAAAAAATAGCATGCATGGAACATATGTAATTTGGAATATTTCTACATCAAAACCAAGTAACTAGCTTCATCAAATTTAAAAGAAATTAAAAAATCTGCTGCGTTCGCCGTTCGGACTCAGAAGAGCCGAAGAGGGCGACTAGGTGGAGGCATTCGGGCTCGAAAGAGGGAGATAGTTGATTGGGCGGTGGCGTTCGGGCTCAGATGAGGGTGACTAGGCAGCTGGCGACGACGTTTAGACTTCTCTTGCGAGCTATCGAGTTCCATGCCCACGTACTTGGAGTCAAAGAGTTGCAGCAGGATAGGGATAGGTGACTATGATATTAGAATGAAAAATGATGAAATCTTGATTTAATATGCACTTAATGCATCATAAATAATTTTAATTACTTATTATTTTCAAAGTCAATGGGGGCCCATGCCTCCAAGGCCCCTATATTGTCTCCGCCCTTGGATAGTCGTGGCTTTGGATGGTCGGGATTGATCAGGTGGACGACTAGATGATGCGGAGCATCTTAAGGACGCTGGACCGCGGAACAAATAGCCTCCTGGGACGTTCTGGCTGGGTCGTTTGTTAGTGGAAACGAACCCATTATTCCCTTTTACTGCTTTTAGTTAGTTAGCACCTGAGTAGAGGGATGGAACCTTTTTGCTTTTAGTCCTTTTTCAGTTAGGAAGCTGGGATGCCTTTTGCTTATCTTTTGCAAAGGCTCGGAGATAGTTAGTCTTAGTTTTCTTTACTTTTGAAAAGCTGAAGTTCATCTTCTTCTTAGAACAAGGTACTGTTCTATTATTTTCTTGCTGTCTTTGCAAATCTGATCACAGGTATCTACATCACTAGATGCCTTCCAACCGGAGGTACAGCTGCATTGAGCCTCGTAAGCTTAAATCTAGTGAGCTCAGGCCATGTCTGGACAAGGCTCGAGGAGGGGACCACCGGAGCTCCACTCTATTTGCCCCGGCCCCTACCGACCACTGATCGGGTCAGGGTGAGGTGGAAAGGATGCTGGAGGTTGGGTGAACTCAATTGTGGTTCGGGGTCAGTTTGGGTGTTATATGGGTCAAACCAGGTGGTGTATTTGTATGGAAGATGCATTAGGTTAAGAGCTACCCAATAATCCAATATAATAGGCAATTGGGGTTGATTTGATCTGTGCTGGAAATGGGCTCGAGTCAAAGTGATTTTGACCACTTTGGGCTAACCTAAGTCAGCCTGCCGCCGTCCCGATCCCGCGTCAATCGGTCGCACTCGAGCACAGAGTAGCGGACTTGCTGTCATTGTCGTCATCCCGTACGGCCGAACTCGCGTCGTCCCGATGGTCCCGCACTGGCTGCAGCGCCGCCCTGCCGCCATGGTGCCTTCCCCGCACGCGGTTCGACGCTACGTTGCTGCCCGCCTTGGTATCTTTCCCGCACTCGCGCACTTAGTAGCGAACTCGTGTCCGACGCAGACTCGCGTTCGGAGTTAGCCCACTCGGAGTCAGCCCACGACATCCGGGTTCGTGGGTCAGGTCGGGTCAACCCGTTAACTTGGTGGGTCGGGTTTGGGTGGACAAACTTGATCCGTTTGCAAAAACAGGTCGGGTTCCATTCAACATGTTTAATAGCTAAAAATGCTAAGCAAACTAAATAATCAGAGAAGCTTAGTCAATGCCAATTTTCATCCCTAAAAAAATCTCTAATTATAAAAAAAAAAAAGCAATTTCACACTCTCTTAAAATTTTAGCTAATTATGAGGTTGCAATTCTTGTAACTTTATCGGTCAAATTTATATTAAAAGAATTGCATCAAAATATCTTAAAATTTGATCAAGACGGGCTTCATTATCTTTAGGTCTATCCTGAAATAATAAAATGGTTAAACATTATTTATGACATTAATCACAACATAAATCTAAAGACAATGAATCCCATTTAATTACATTTCGGTCGCCCAGTTCTTTTCCTTAAAATTTGACATATGCCATAAAATTTTAGCTTACATATTTTGTTTAGAAGATGATAGTTTAATAAATATTGTTGTTATATATATAAGTGTCAAAACAGGTCAACGGGTCGGATTTTAGTCCAACCCGAATTGACCTGGGCCTAAACAGGTTGACCATAACCTATCTCTATTTTGAAAAATGTTCAGGAATTCTAACCTGGACATACATATGTGAGTTACCGTGTTGATCCGACCCAACATGACCCGCGAACTCACAACTGTATATGCGTGCACTGAATCTGGACATGAACTCAAGTGCCCTGTGCACGAGTGGCTGAGTGAGAACTCGCAAGCAAGGTGAGCGGGAACATGCAATAGGGTTAGGCACAACCTCACGACGCATAATGAGGGATCTAGCGACTAGAGCGGGCACGTAGGCACGAGCGACCAAGCAGGAACGCGCATGCGAGGTAAACTCGGGTTGTGGGATCAATTCGGGTTTCTTGGTCAACTTGAACCCAACTCATTTTGTAAATGGTTTGGAAACTCGAATCTGAACCCGACCCGTATGGCAAACGAGTTGAACAAATCAAAAATTTTTCTGGTGTATCCAAATCAGATTTTGAGTCGTGTCAAATATTGGAGCTTTTATTCTATACGGAGTCTGGACGGGAGAACCGTCTGGTTAAGCACTGTGTACCCAACAGAGTGCGGGTACCGAGTTGGGTACTACGAATGAGATGATGTGACACATTTTTATTTGTATCAGAACGCTCTCCGCACTCCTCATAGAATAATTTCTCCAAATATTGACACCACAATTATATTTGAGTTGATTACTAAAAATAAAAATCCAATAAAACCAAAAAATTCCGTACTACGTGGGACCGATCGTTTACTTGTCATTTCTCAAGTCTTTGCAGTCGGATCAAACCGCGTGCGTTCTCATTCACTCATTCAATCTAGGCAGGCTCCTCCCGACCCGCTTTCCCTTCTCCTTCCTCGTCGCCTTCCTATTTATATCTCCCCCACTAGAGCTCCAAAGGAACTCAAGCACACAGCTTATCCCTAACACATAGCTCTTACAACTACTTGGAGCTTCCTTAGCGAGCAGCAAAACCAAAGGGAATTAATACAACTTCATTTCATCATCCATGGCCAAGGTATATAATTACTGTGCTCAGTTCTTACTAATGAATTTTGTTCAGCATCAAGCATCTAATTACAGAGTCCTCCATTTCTCCTTCATTAATCTGCAGCAAAAGGTGGTGCTGAAGCTCTCCATGGAAGATGCCAAGAAGCGCTCAAAGGCCATGCAATGTGCCGTCGGAATGCACGGTAATTCCCAAACTAATTGAAAATATATAGTATCAAGCAAAGCCAGGTTATATATGAATTTGATGATGAAATGAAGTTGCTTTCTGCAAGCAGGTGTTTTGTCAGTGTCGCATGAGGGGGACAAGATGACCGTGGTGGGCGAAGGGATTGACTCGGTGGCATTGACTGTTGGATATTATCAAACCAAACGCCGCGTTGTTTGCTTTATTTTTCTTTAGATTTTAATTTTTGTTTTACTAGACGGTTTTAAAAACCGTTTTTTTTTGTTTTGTTTTTGAATGGATGTATCCCGTGAAAAACAATTAGTGCTTGCTGCTCTCGGTTTTTTGGTTTTTGATTCTCTGCCCGTGAAAGTCCAGAGAACAAGAAGTTACTTTGTTTTTAGTTTTCTATTTTCTACCGTGGAAGGAGTGAAGTAAGAAGTAAAGTATTTTCTCTTCTCTACCAATTTTGTTCTGTTTGGTTTTTAGTTCCATCATTGACGACGCTACTGCGAAAGAAGATGGGATATGTCGAATTGGAGTTGGTAGCTGCAGTTGAGGAGAAAAAGGAGAAGAAGGTGAAGGTGGAGGCAGAAGTAAAGAGCAATATCCAACCAGTGATTTTGCCGCACGATTATTATGGACGATCTGTGGGTACCTTCACTCAACCGCTCTACTACCATGCGGATGTTACAGAGCCCAGTTATGATCAAGATAGTTGTTCTATCATGTAAAAGCTATTTCATTTTTTTTTTTCCTGATCGTCTCTGCTTTTCGCAAAGCTATGGATGTCTTGGTGATTCAAGGTATAGCGAGCAAAAAAAATTTGTAATTTAAGAAGGGCAAAGCTTTGTAATCCGTTTAGTTATAGAAAAATTAAGAAGAAAACTTATATATTATTTATAGCTACATAAGATTTTTCCCAAATCAAATAAGAATGAGGTGCCCTGTTTAATTCCATTAATGTTTTTACTCTTTGATGGATGAGGAAAATTTTCAACGTCTATCTACACCTCAATTGTGAGCTGAGTTGCTCTAGCTAAAAAAGGATTTTTACGGTTGAAGTTTTCGTTCGAAATAATTTTTTTATTGTTTCTTACAGTAATTTTTTCGTTAAAAAATTATATTTTTTACTAAAAAATTACTTTAAAAAATAGTAAAAAAGTTGTTCTTAACGAAGCTGAAGTGAAGTATGTCCAAGATGAAATCATTCAAATAATTTCATGCTAGATTTCAATTTATAGTGAAAATTAGATAAATGGTTATTAGGAGATTGGGAAACTGTTGAAGCTAATTTTGGATTTAACCTTTCAGCCAATGTTGAAGATAGAACTTAGCACGGAGAGTTGGAGAATATTTTCATCGTAATCCGTCGGAAATTTACCAGAAATTCGTTGAAAATTTCGCTAGTAATCTACAATTTTCATACAGTATCCTCCTCCCCATCTCTCAAGAAGCTCAAAAGGAAGAGATTCTTCTCATTCAGAATCCTAACAACTACCATCACCAATACTAACACAGGCATAAATATAACTCTAGCTTCATTTATAGACTGATGTTAGTTTTGATCTTATTCATAAGTAAACTTCAAAGATAGGAGATTATTATTATTATTATTGATATAAAATAAAAGATGGCTGGTATATTATATATAGAATTGTTTTATTTTTATTAAATATCAAAAAAAATTTATTTACTAAGTGGTAGTCGCGATCATATACGAGGACAAGAGGTGGTTCGCAATAATGATTGTCAGCTTCTTTTATATAACTGGAGTTATATTCGCATAAATATAACTCTAGTTTCTTTTATATAATCTAAATTGTTTTTTGATTTGGATTATAATCTAAAATGTTTTATATGAAGTTTAAAGTCATTCAAAAAATTTTTATATTCTTTTTAAATATAACTTTTTTAACTTAAATTAACAATAATTTTTTAAATAAAATTTAAATTCTAAATAAAATTCATAAAATTTTGCACATTTATGATTTATATTTT